TAAAACCCTAAAACCTCAACAGCAAAAGCCTAAAACCTCGAAGCTTCTAGCCTAAAACCCTAAAACCTCAACAGCAAAAGCGTAAAACCTCGAAGCTTCCAGCCTATTCCACAAAACCTGAACAGTTATTTTTTCCCGACCCTTTTCGACAAATCCCCGGGGAACCGCGAAAAGAAGAGTGTTTGGAAATTCGCGAACGCAAGACAACGTGGTAAAGATACCGATGCGGAAATTAGGTGGCCCAAATCTACCCTCGCCAGTACGTGAAAGAGGCTCCGAGCAAGCATGCCGCGAAAGGAAATCAGTACACAGCCAGGCGGTAAACGACCACCAAAGGGCGCGTTTTAAGCTTGGCCCCCGATAGACCTGGACACGAAATACGTTAAGGGCCGAAGCTTCACGGCAAAAACGTAAATGCACGCAGCGCTGCGGGCCAAGGTACTCGTTAGTGGTCTTCGACGAGGCTCGCCGTCGCCGGACATGGCACGTTGGGAGCCACAAGGCGAGGGCCGCGCATCCGAAGTGAAATGGCCGCGGGCCAATGCAATGCAACGGGGCAGGAAAGCAAGACGGCCGAATGCGACGACCCGATAAAAGAGCATTTAGTCGGCATAGCCAACCCAGCGTTCCAGTCTGGGCCACAGCGACCGCAACGCGACACGTCCGTGCACCTGCATCGCCCCCGATCCAACCTTTGAACAGAAAACCGCGGGACACCCACGCCCGCGACTGACCCCGCCCATGCGCCCCCGACCAACGCGCCGATGGACCGCGCGGACGTCGCTCCGTTTTTTTTCTTCGTCGCGGTCGGGACCGGAACAACGAGTCGCATTGGCCCCTGCTGTGTCGCAACTTGAAAATTATGAAGAGGCCGAGCTGGCACCGGAAGACCGGCTTGGGCTCGCGTCCCAGGAAACACCTTCGTGGAACACGAGGGCGCACCCGACCGCTTCGACGGTGACGTAGACAATGTACCACGCGCAGCGTCGGCCGGGCTGCGGCCACGTCCCAAGCCACGGTCGCACGCCGGCCGGGAACGTGGGCGCCACCTCGTTGGGTAGCCACATCTGCGCCCGGACGTGCGCCGCCAACCAGGCGACTGCGTCGGTCCAGGCGCGGGATGACTCGGTCAGCCGCCGGTTCGCCGGGGCGAACCACGCGCGGTGCGGCAAACCGGCGCCGCGGAGAAACTGCGCGAGGCGGCCCGGGCGCTGCAGCGAGAGGCCGCAGCGCAGGAGGAAGTCCACGACGCCGAAGGGCGGGCCATGAAAGTCGAAGCCCACGTAGCCTTCGCCGGGGTGGCGGAACATCGGCACCCGGAACCCGCCTGTAGCCAACAGTTCCAAATGTCGCTGCGCCTCTTCAAGTTGGTCATCGATCCACGTCTGCAGCGTCGGCAGCAACAGCGCGAGGTCTGGGCACGTCAGGCACAGGGCCACGGCGCTGCAGGGCGGCAGCCAGCGAAAGATGTCCCAGTGGATTGCAAGGGGCTGCCCCGACAAGGTCGCCATGCGTGGGTCGAAGAGGGTAAGCGCAAAGCACGACAGCGACGGCTAGAGCGAAAACGACTACGGCAGTGAATATACGTGCGGCACACAGGGACAAAACACGCTCGCTACGGGCCCCGTCCACGCGCCCCCGACCAACGTTTCGATAGCGGATATGGACCCTGCGGGCGTAGCTTTTTTCTTTTCGTTTCGGCGTCGCGGTCGGACGCACAGCACGCACAGTCCACCGGCCAGCAGTGTATACGTGAGGTGCCATCGTAAAGAAAACACGCGGCAGCCGTGGTCGTGGTTCGGGCCGCTCAATCTTCCTCGGCCGCAGGGTCCGGCGGGTCCGCAGCCAAAGCGGGCAAAGGATAGCCTCGATCCAACATTAGCCGCAGCCAGCGCTCCACCCCTAGATCAAGGCGACGACGGAGAAGGTCCAAGTAGCGCTGCATGGTGCGAACGCGGCCAAGGGTCGCCCGAAGCGCAGGACGTAAAGGCGCCCAGAGAGGGCTCATCTCGACCGCCAGCACCGCCTCCAGGGCTTCGAGCGACGCCACGATGCGATCCAAGACGGCCGCCACTTGGGAGTGCAAACAGAAGGCTGCCCACAAGGTGCGAAAAGATTGCGCGGCCGCTGCGGCATCCATGTCTTTTGCGATGGGGTCGGTGCGGGGGAATCGATACGTCTCAAGTTGAAAAGCTGCAGAAGAACAGCCACGATCGACGCGACAAAACACACCGGCCTGCTGGCGCGCAACGGAAAGAGGTAGACGGGAAGAGTCGCGCAACGGACGACGCGGGCAATTTTTTCGCGTGCGAGAGCACCGTCTTGCGGGAACGAAAGCATTGGCCAAGGGCATCTACCGTATTACACGGCCAACGTCCTGCTCGACCAAGGCCTGTGACACTGTACAGGCGCCCGACCGCGGTAGCCGGCACGGCTCACGAGCTCGGCTCCCGCGCCTCGGCGATGCAGGGATCACTGCGGGAGTGCGCGGACGAAGTCAACGAAGAAGAGCTCCGCGAGCGGGAGCGTTCGGGCTGCGGGGCGCTCGCCGCCGGACGCTTGCGTGGGGGGCGCCCCAGCGCACAGTCGGGCATCGCGTCCGCCAGGGCCTCCAGCTCGGCGGCGTCGGCCGTGACTTCGCCCAGGCGTGCCAGCGCGACGTGGAAGACCTCCAGGTCCTGCACCTTGAAGGCCTCAGGCTCCGCGACGCGCGGCGCCCGGCACCGCGTGTCAGGCAAGTTTCGGTTTGTTAACGCCGGTACTGCCAAGGCACGCGCAAACGGGCGGCGATGTTGCTGCGCATGCCCGGCTTCTCCAAGATGTCCTCCAACCGCCCCAAGTCGCAGAAGACGCAGCGAGAGAAGGCCTTCGACGTTTGCGCCGCCCGCCCCACCCGAGTAGAATTGAAGACGCACGGCCGCGAAGCGCCGCCCTCGATGAAGCCCTCGCAAGTGCGCACCATGCCCGAAGCTGCGGGTCGCGACACGAAGAGGCGGCGAGAGAAACGCGCGATGTGCTGTGAGCTGCAACGCCCGCCGAGGAGGATCTCCGTGACAGAACGATATGGCTATGGACAAGTCCGCGGCTCGGGTCCCAACAAACACGCGGAAGAACGAACGGCTCTCTTGTCGCGGATCGAGTGGGGCGTATCCGCGCGCTTTTTTTCTGCAGAGTCCGAGGTCGCGGCGATCGCCGCCGCGGCATGGCAGGCTGCCTTCAAATATTGGCGCCGCCGGAAATGCCGACCAAGGCAGCTGGGCGACAAGGGTCGAAAAACAGAAGCCCCGCAGCTAGGCGCTGCACGGAGCGGGCACAAAATGCCGGCGCTGCAGGTTGCCGATGTAGCGCCAGTCACGATCGTGCTGCGCGCGGGACAACGCCACGTAGCCAGCGCCTGGGACGAAGGGCGTGTTCAGCCACAGGGTCATATGCTGCAGTGTGGCCCCTTGCACTTTGTGTAGATTCGTGCAATACCCGGGGCGCAGCGGGTATGCCGTGCGGCGTTCCCTGGTTCCCTCGCCGTCCTCCAAAAGATAGTCCCTCGTCACTGGGTGGATGAGGATCACCTCGCCTGTGTCGGTCACGACCTGGCGCGCGCGCCGGCCGGCGGCGGAGGGCTATACGGACGCTCGAGCAACGTGACGAAGCGAACGACGCCGAAGAACGGAGTCGAGCGGCGACCCGCGCGCCTCCACTCCGCTGCGTCGCAGGCGACGAACCCAGGCGCCCATGCCGTTGACGAAGGAGTGTTCCTTATCCTCGTTCTTTGTGATGGTCACTCGCATGTGGACGAAGAGCTGCAACGGGTAGGGGTCTGCATGGACCATGGCTCCGGCCCGGTAGTTGCTGGCATTGGCTTCAGGGTCGCCCGGCACCGTGCCCAAGGCCGGCTTTCCCTCGAAGTGGGCCTGCGCGGCAAGGTCGTTCAGCAATTGCGCGGCTGCCCGGGTGTATGTGACGAAGAGTGTGTGAGGCGTTTCCTGCAGAATCTGCTGGATGTCTTCCAAGGTCGGCTGCCCGGCTGGGTCGGCGGGCGGAACGCCCTGCGGGGCCCGATGCGTCCGCAACAAGCGCCTCAACTGCTTGGACGTGGGGCTCGCGCTCCGCAGCAGCTCCAACTTCCAGCGCAGCTCGGCGCACTTGCAGCGGCGCATGGTATGCAGATGCAATTTGGTCACTTCCACCCAGCGGTCGCTGTCCAGCGCAGTCGATGGATCCATGCCGCGCAGCTGCGCAAAGTCTCCCACGAAGATCAAGGCCGTTCGCCGGCCAGCGGCGTCCCTGAGTGCAAGCAAGCGGTCGAAGGTGTCCTTGGAGAGCTGCCCAACTTCGTCCACCACCACCATATCGTAGGGCTCCATCATGTCCAGAGTCTCGATTTTAAAGGCCTGCGAAGGGCGAACATGCCGTGCACGGTGTCCACGTCGAGGTCCGGAAACTTGACACGATAACTGCTTGCCAGCATGCCCGTCGGGCACGCAATGCCCACGTGCGCGCCCCGGCCGACGGCCGCCTGAACGGCGACCTCCACTGCGGCGCTCTTCCCGCTCCCGGCAGGGCCGAGGACGGCGAGCACGGGCGTCGCCGTCGCCGGCGCACGGGCGACCCAGGAAAGCCAGGCCGGCGCGTCCATGTCTTCCTCCTCCGGCCAACGGGCCTGTAGCGCCTTGTCGACCGCGCGGCGCGCAGCCACCACAACGAAATCTTGATCCGATGCCAGCGCTAGCTGCGGAGCAGATGCCTGCATACCAGAGAGCGCCGGGCGTGAGAGCAAAGAAGGGCCGCTCTCGTCCACGTTCAGCTCTCCACTCAGAAAGGCCTCAGCCAACTCAATGCGTGAGGCCAGAAGAGCCTGGAAATTCTCGATGTAAAGCTCTGTCGATGCCTCAAGCTCCAGCTCCGCTCGCAGCGCCTGGGGCGCCTTCCAGAAGCCAGGACGCTTCAGCAAGCAGAGCGTCAAGAATTTCAAGGCCGCCGGGACCCGCGCAGCGCGCTCGTCCCACAAGTCATCCAGCGCCCGAAAGGGAACGTTGAGCAGAAGCCACTGGCCGCAGTAGCGGTCGGTCGTGCGCGACGCGGCGATGGCCGCCACCAAGATCTCCCCCTCTGCCGGCAGGCTGTTGATCCATTCTTCCAAGGGAGCGTCAATCTTGCGAAGCTTGTGCAGGCGCCGATAGCGCTGTTGGATTTGGCCGCCCGCGCCGACCCGGCGCAAGTACTCCAGCAAGGACATCGAAGAAGAGCGCCAAGGCGAGGACATGTAGTCTTGCACGACCTGCGGCATCTCCTTCTCCCACGGCAGAGGAACGATGAATTTCTTTACGAAGCCATGAGAGAGAAATTGCGGATGCTGCTGAGCGGCCAACTGTAGAACCATCTCTGGTTGATGCGGGTGGTAGTCGGAGAGGACGCGTCGAGTGACCACAAAATCGGTGGCCTGGTCATTGAGCAGCTCCTGGGCGAAGGAATCGCTGAACTTCGGCAAGTAACCTTAGCTCGCGCGCGCGCGCGACCCGACGAGTCACAGCGACGGCGCGAGCCGAGCGACCCCGACGCGGAGAAGCGATGCGGACGAAGCGCTGGCGCAATATTTGAGCAGCAAGGCGCGCCCATCCGAAGCCAACACGTCGACGTGGCAGCGCAGGCTCTGCAGGACGTCGACCACGTAAGCGCGGCAGTGCGCGGCATGGGCGTCCTGGGGGTGCCGCAGGCGCAAGAGGTTGCCCTTCACGTCGGACGGCTCCTCCCGGCGAGGCCACCCGCTGCTCTCCCAATCCAACTGCGACCCACGGACCAAATCGGACATCTCCGGCGCGTCGGCGCCGGGCAGCTCGGCAGCAATCTGGGCAGGTAAGTCCAAGGCGGGCAAGTCGCGAAGCCACACCAGCAAGTGCACGTGGACCCGGCCGGAGCCGTGGTAGAACTGAGCCGGGCGAGCGCTGCCTCGTTTGCGCTTGCCGTCCTGGAACTCGAGGCGGGCGACCCAATGCCGGACGCCCGCGCCATCTGCGACCCCATGGTGCCCCGCGAAGACGTGCTCTCTCTGCGGCTTCATCCCATCGTTGGCGCCCAGGAGGAGCCCCTTCACGGCCTGCGTCAAAATGTGCGTGATGTGTAGCGTCTCCGTGGCCGGTGCTTGCAACCTCGCGGCCAATGTCTTCTGCAGCTCGTCTTCCACCGACGAGTGATATGGCATGGACCACTCATAGGGGCTGATCGTGATGAAAACGGAGGGCCACCCAATCTGTTTCTGCAGGTCCACAAGAGCCAGGTGCTTGGTTTTCCACATCTCAGGGCTGAAGGGCTTGTTGGCGAGCGCCTCGCGCAGCGCCAGGCCGGATGCATTCTTTGCCCCGCCAATGCTGCTCCACATCCACAGATCCCAGACGAAGTGGAGGAGGAGGGCGTCCGAGCCGTACCCAATGAGGCTTCCGTGCACCTTCGCAAGGAAGCTGGCCTTGGCGCTCTGGTGGGTGGGCTTCTCCGCCGCCCCGTCGGCACCATCTCGGTCCATCTCCTCGAGCTCCATCTCCCGGAGGCGGCCGCCGGGCAGCCGCCGCAGGCGGCGCTTGTCGATGGAGCGGACAAATGTTTCAGTCATGTCGGTCCGCCAATAGAGATGGTGCCAAACACAGCATTCCAGCCCCACGGTCTCTAAGAAGTTGGCGGGCAAGCGCTTCACCGGGGCTGCGCCGTCGATCTCTCCGCGGTCGATGGCCGCCGCGCGGGAAGCGAGGAACTTGTTGTGCAGCAAAATGAAATCCTGGTAGGAGTTGTCGGTGTCAGCGACCAAAAACTCATAGGCCGCAAGGGCCTTCTGCCGGGCTGTTCGGGGCAAAGCCGCCAGTGTCACCTCCACAGACTGCGGCTTGAAGGCGAAGCGCGCCATGTCACTGTGCAGCAGATAGCCGTGCGGCGCCCGGACGTGCGGGCCGACAAAGATGCTCACAGGCCGCAAGGCCTCCACCACTTCCGGGGTCAAATGCCGCAAGGCCCTGGGTTGATCGTCGGGTTGCGGGGCCCAATAGCCATGTTGCTGCTGCCCCTTGGACAGCGACTTGCAGCGCTGGCATTTTTTCAGCATGGGGCCGGCGCGGGCGCTCCCGCGCAAATCCTTGGCAGCACACTTCTGAGGCACCATGCGCCCACACTGCTCGCAGCTGCGCCAGGATGCTTCCAAGCACCACTTCCTGAAGGCTCTGGCCCTGGGCGTCTGCCAGGTGGCGGCGGCACTGTCGGCCTGTCCCCCGTGGGGCGGGGCATACAAAGATGGAAACTTGCGAGAAAGCCTCTTTTCGTCATTTGCTCGAGCTTTGGCATACAAGGCCTTGGCCGCCTTGGGCGCGTGCAGGGCATGCTTGCGGCGCTTCAGCACAATGCCCCACAAGGAGGTTTTGGGCTCCTTGGCTCTCTCCTGCAGCTTGCGCCGGTAGGTCTCGGCGACCTCCGCGCCAGCCATGGCCGCGATCCTCCGACAAGCTTTGTCTCCCAGGTCCGGACTGGCCCGGGAAAGTTTGCGCAGAGCTTCGGTGATGCGTTTCCCGTCTTGCACCTGCGCCGCTGCACGAAAGGCGGCCGCGCTGCAGAAGAAGCAATGCCGAAGGCCCGACGTGCGAGAGGGGCGGGCAGGAGCCCCGGAGCCGCTCAAGTGAAAGCAGCATTCAGCGCCCGCGCAAGCGGCCGCATGGTGCGCGCTGGAGCTGCGCGCGACGCCACGTCGCCGCTGGCTGCTGGAGCGCAATCTCTTCTTTGGCATGGCAACGGAGGGTCCCGACACAACGCGTCGCCGTCGAGTTCGAAGACTGCCAACGGCCACGGCGGCGGACACGTAGGCATGAGACGACAACCACTAGAGAGGCACACGCGAGCGACGACGAGAAGACAGCAGGAATGCACTGCACGCAGAGAATCCCAATGAGTGAAATGGCTTCGATCGGTTCGGCTTCGGCCTTTTTCGGTAGCACCATCTTGCGATGTCAAAAGTCATGGCCGAGGGCATTTACCGTCTTACACGGCCAACGTCCTGCTCGACCATCCCCGTCTGGCCGACGGAATCTGTCGTCTCACGTGGCCCAGCAGCGCAATTAGCATCACAAAAAGATTGAAAGCAACACAAACAAGGGACATAACAAGGGACATCACCGCGAATCGGTGTCGCCACGTGGCAAACAGTGAAGCCGTGAGAATACATGACAACGAGTCTTTTTCTAAGTCGTATAGGAGTCGAATTGCGCCGCCGACGGGTTCCCAAAACAAGCTCGAAGCTGGCGCCCCTCACTCGCTGTCTTTGGCTTCGCCCGCAAGCGCAGTGATCCCGGGGCCCATTCCCGCCGCGGGGCTGCCGATCTCAGGCGTGGCGGACCGCTTCTTCGACGCTTCCTTCTTGGCCTCTTTCTTGGCCCTCTTCTTCTCTTTCTTGGCCTTCTTTGCGGCAGAGTCAGAGGAGCTGGATGAGGAGGTGGATTTCTTGCGCTTTGTCCTGCGCACCTCCGGCGCTTCGCCTTCGGAGTCCCCACCGTCTCCGCCTTTGCCGGCCCCCCAGCTCGCCTCCTCCTGGGCACGCATCTGGACACAGCGCGCCAGGAATGCTTTGGCTGCACGGAGGTCCTTCGGGTCATGGCGCCATGCGTCCAAGGCCGCTTGGTTGGACTTGGTGGCGGGGATCTTCTGAGCCCAATTTGCGAGGGCGTTGGCCATGGTTGTCGCCTCTGCGAGCTGGGAACAGCCGAGGTAGAGGGCCGAGGCGAATTGAAGCACGCGCGGCAGGTGCTGGTGGAGCTCGCTTTTGTTGTCCCGGAAAAAGCCGAGCCAATCGCCGAGGGTGGAATCCAGGGCGTCCGCCGTGAGGGTTGCCGCCTTCGCTGGTTGCATTTGCGCGCAGGCCTGGAAGAAGGAGACTGCCTCTGGCTTGGACAACATCTCTCCAAGCGCCTTGATCGCCGGGCCTGCGGCGGTTTCCTTGGAGCCAGTGGCTTCCGCCTGGAGCGCCCCCTGCAGGCCAACGATCGAATGGCTGATGGTGCTCAGCCCCACTGCCGGCCGGCGAGCCAGCTCGGAGTTCTGGCTCGTGAGCACCTGGCGCAAGGTCCCCTTCGACCATAAGTCGACGGCAAGCTTGGTGGGCGAGTAGACCGGGACGTGGCCCTCACCGTAGTAGGGGCGAAGGCTTTGTTTGGCAAACGCATAGCGCCCCTCCAAGCGCTTGACGTACTCCAGGGGGCCTTGCTCGGAGTCTCCCTTGCCCTTGCCGTTGTCTTCGGCCCACCAGCCGTATCCCTGCGCCCAATCGTGCTCGGCGGAGCCGGACCAATCTTTGCCGCTCCACTTGCCTTTGCTGCCACCCCAATTGCCATAGCCGCCTTTGCGGCCGGCGCTCTTGTGGTGTTTGCCCTTGCCGCCCCACATGGCCAGAGAATGCGCGACGGTTTGCCGATAGCGTGAAAGCTGCAAATGGCTACAGCGGCGGGCACGCATACTGCGCATGACAACCACAAAGAACACCAAACGTGAGACTTGAAGTGGCCACGGACATGACTCGATGTCGAAGCGGAGCGACGGCGAGGACCGCGGTGTCGGATGCGTCCACGAGCTTCCTTCTTTCCCATTGTGGCGCCACTGTCTCATCTCCCACCCTCACGCAGCGGCGGGCCGCTCGCGCCGACCGACTCCGCTGGGTCTCGCCGTCCGCTGCCGCGCCAAGCCACCCAAGCGCAGAGAGCCACGCAAGCTGCCAGGCGCCAGCGGCAGCGTACCTGAGGCCGAGCGCGCGTAAAGCAGGCCACTGTTGAACAACAAGATCACCCAGGCACGTAGTCGGGTCACGACAGAGTCGACGATCGAAAAGCACGACGGACGGAGGGCATGTGTGTGTGTGTGCGTCGGTGGCTGGGTCTGTTTGTCTGCCTGCATCCGTCTCTCGATCTATCTCTGTGTCTGTCTCTGTCTGTCTTGTTGCGCCTGCCCGTCTGTCTGTTTGGCTGTCTGTCGGTCGGTCCGTGGGTCAACAATATTTGTCGATGAAATTGCGTTCCTTAATGGTTCTTTTCAGTGTTGCCAGCATGACCCACACCCAGCCCACGCTAATGCCGCCGAAGGTTGCCCCCACTAGTTATTAGAATGGGGACCTTACAATACGTTCATCAGAACGCCGGTGCTCTCGAGACAATCCTGGGTGGGACCATTACGATACAAGGTGGTTAAATAGAACACCGACGCCCCGTGCAATAAGTTACCAGAGTTCACCCTGCCCCCTCCCACCGGGGCCTGCCCTTACTTATATAGGGTCGAAATCGGTCGCCGTCGCGCGTTTTCCTTCGGTGCCCGCGGCGGCTCGGACACCCAAAGGGTCCCAAGCGAGAGCGCCCACTGCCCGGGGAGTTGGTGGAATAGGTCGTTCTAATGCCGGGCGCAAATAGGCACGAAACAGCGCGCAATCAAAAGAAAACACGCCACCTGGAGGGACAAACTGTGATTTCGCATCTCGTTTGACCCCAGGCCGGGGGGTCAAACGAGATAGCGTAACTCGTTTGACCCCTTTCGCGTTTCTCGTTTGACCCCCGCCGGTGGGGTCAAACGAGATGCGACGCAACCATGTTGAATAATGAATCATAATGTCCTTCAGAAACGTCTTAATTTTTTTTTGGGTTCGCGCCGCGGGCTCGGAACCGAAAGGTCCCGGGTTCGACCCTCCCCTGCGCGCCGTCCAGGCTACGCGCGCTAGCGTCCATGTGTGTGGTGAATACGTGAAAATGAACATGTCTGTATGCAGCAGTGGTCTGCATGCATGTATGCCGTATGTACATATACGACATAGAGTGTATGTATGTCTGCTTAACGTCGATCTACATGACGCTGAAGAAGGCCAAGAAACAGATTCCAGCATAGGTCCTAAAAATTCGTTCATAACCAAGTGAAGCGAAAGGCGTAGACACTATGTCTTCGCTACGGTCGTTCGGGCGCGCCCACGCACAGGTCACCCGCCGAGATCAGGGAGCCGGAGCGACGTTTTTGTAGCCTCTACAAGAGGTGTGTTGAGGAGAGACGTGTCCGCGGCGAGTGGGATTGGGCGGTGGCAACATCTTCTATTGGATTTGTTCATTCGATATATCGTCCGACTCCGCCGAACTGGAGTCGGACGTTTTGGTAATGCGTCCGACTCCGGTCCGGAAAACGTCCGACTCCACGCCGGCGGAGTCGGACGATTTATGTAGTAAACAATGAAATATAATGTCCAAGGGACCGTCGAAGATTTTTTTAGGGTTCGTGCCGCAGGCTCGGAACCGAAAGGTCCCGGGCTCGACCCCTCCCTGCGCTCTTTCCAGGCTACGCGCGCAAGTGTTCTGTGCTACGCAGGGTCGCTTAAAGGCATGTCTG